CAGCTTGGTGTACAGTGGTCACCTGCAATCAAGATTGTGCTTTATTACTGCTTCTTTCTTGTTACATTTTGTTCGCGACTGTGCATAGTGGACCAGCTTTGTACTCTTCAAGTTCTCTACAACATTTTTAACCTTAGAGATCACACGGAAAAGATGATGAGGAGGTATGTGCATGTATGTAATCTCAACAGTCCAGAAACTAGACATAGAGGCAACAAACTGAAGGAGATTAGCAGATACGGGGAATCCACTGCCTCATAATCATGGTGGCATAGTAGTTGAAGGTGCGCAACACACTTCACCTACTACGCCGCAGGAAGGAAGGAGCATTTTGACAGAAAGTAGAACAAAACATATGTAGTCTGTTTTCACACGCAAATTTTTCGGTTTTTTGTCTCTTTTAATGTTTGAAGTATTAAACATGTGAATCAACACAATTCTGTACACAATTCTTCAACTGATTCCGGCTGCGGGCCATGTCTTCAAGGGTGTTAGCCATTAGCACTCCTGATCTTTGGGTCCCCATCCTGGAAGACGTACGGTTCCAACAGCCGCTAAACACGACGTCAGCGATTTCATGTGCTGTCGCCAGGTGGAAGGCTGACCACCACGCAGTATCTTCCAGCCAGGTCCCTGACGAGCGAATAAGGCGCGACGCGGTAGACGCTCAGGTGCCATGCGTAGGACGTGACCGAGCCATCTCAAATGATGCGGCAAAACCATTTATTGAAGGGAATATTCGCATTCCTCAAGCTGTGACTTCGAACGTCATTACTGTTAACTCGATGTTGTCCCCAAACACTAGCAATCCTCCTTAGGCAACCGTTATCGAAGGCAGATGGATGACGCATGTCTTCTACCCGAATCGACCAGGACTCGCTCCCATAAAACAACACTAAGCGGACAGATGCGCTGTAAGCGCAGCCCGTTAACGAGAATGAGACTTCGCGACGACGCCACAGGTGTCTCAGATTTATAAATGCTGATCGGGCTTTAGCGATGAGAAGCGAAACTCCTCAGCGGAAACACAGCTGCCAAGGTAGACGAAACTATCTACCTTTAAAATGACTTGATGTACTTGTAGCCTGGGTTGATCGTTCCTGGGTTCAACTGTTCGCCGAGCTTCGCAATTGGTATGCATACGTTTCATCACCACAGGAGGTGACTTCCCCAGGGCGCTTCTGGATCCAAGGTAATCCGCTGACTTAATCATCGATTTGTGATTGATTAGCAAGTGCCTTTGGAATTGACCTTCTCAATCTGTGCCCCGTGACCATCCGTCTACCCAGATTCGCTGGTAGATATGGGCGTTTCATAGTCACTTGCTAATCAGTCACGAATCTACGACCAAGTCAGCGGATTGCGTTTGACCCCGCAGCGCACGGAGGAAGTCACCTCGTGTGATGATGAAACGTTCGCATACCAATTCCGAAGCTCCACGAACAGTTTAAACCAAAAACTATGTACCTGTTCATGTCGTGCACCTTCGACAGTGAGCACGGGAGCAGGTGAAAGCCAATCACTGAGCAGTAATTTACACTTCGATGGAGCTAGCTAATGCCATATTTAGGTGCTTCTTCCGCCAAACGATCCAGATGAGTTGCATACGCTGAGGATCGTCAGCAATTAAGGCGATGTCATCAGCATAATCTAAGTCGGTCGCGAGCCCACCCGGTAGAAGCTCTAGGCCAAAATTTTGGAAACCTTCTAGAGCACTCGACAGAACGCCTTCGATTGTGAAGTTGAATAGAAATAGGAACGTAGGGCATCCCTGTCGCACACCGCTATTGGCAGCGAATGGCTAGGAAAGCTTGCCATAGACTCACACTCTGCCAAATTTATGAAGGTAAAGTACTTGTAAGATGACGGTATATCTATCCGGCACCGCGTTCTTTAGCAAGCAACGCCATAAAGCTGGTCGATCAACGGAGTCGAAAGCGGCACGTATTTCAAGGAATGCTTTGATAGTGGGCCTGTGATAAATGTGGCGATGTTCGAGGAGCTGGCGGAACGTGCAGATTTGATCCACGCATGTGCGTCCGGGACGGAAACCAGCATGCTTTTCACGGAAATATTATTCACGAAGCAGAATGGATGCCAATAGCTTAGAGGCAACCGAGATAAGACTAACCCCATGATGATTTACACATGAAGTGCCAGCGCCTTTCTTGGAAATCGGACAATAACTGGTTCGACCCAAGAGGAATGCACTTTCTCTTCATGCCAGACTTTTTGAAACTGCGACGTCAGCTGGTTAATGATCGCCACGACTCCGTACCTGAACAGCTCGGGAAGAAGTCCGTCTGAGTCGGCAGCCATGAACTGCTTCAAGCGTCGAATCTTGAAGTAGACTTCCGCCTCGCTGGGTGGATTCATTGGGACGAGCCAGGTTGTACAACTAGGTGTACTGCATGTACTGTTGGACGGTGGGGGACAGTTGAATTGCAAGTGAAATTGATCGGCCCAGCTGTCCATACGCCTCTGTTGGCTGGTGGTCGGAGACTTATCCACCTCTCAAATGACCTCACCGACACCAGGATTCCTGAGGCCAGTGGACCGAAGGAGTTGGGAAAGCTTGCGAGTGTTGCCAGAGAGGGCAGCAGTCTCCAACTCTAAAGCACGCTCAGACCACCATGTCTCGCGATCCTTGCGTAGGCTTTGCTTGTGCAGCCGGTTGGCAGAACGGCGCCGCTCGTTGCAATCTGATGCCCCAGGGATATACTTGCGGCGTTCTAACAGCTCCAGCGAACGAGCTGAGATCCCTTTAAGGGGCGTCGAGTTAGGTTTCAGTTTGACCGTTCGGAACTGGTCATCACGTCTTGCGGTGGATTGCAACTGAGTGCCGACGCCAGTGAAAACTGATAGCTCGCCTGGACAGAGGAATCAGTTAATCTGTTTACATCAATCTTGCGGTGCTTCGTGATTCGAGATCTCCAAATCACATGAAGATTTTCGCGCAGACCAGTGCATGATCTGAGTCAACGAAGTTGTACCAAAAGGACCTACAGCCCAGTATGCTGTCAAGCCATCTGAAGCTGATTGTAATGTGATCAATTTGAGACCACGGTTGTGTTGGCGCATGTATACGTCACGTTGCGGAACGCTTCTTCGTATGCCTGAAGTTAGTGCTACAGAGAAGCAGACGGTTGTCTTCGCACAATGTGAGAAGCCTCTCTGTGTTATCAGAGCAGTTCTCATCGAGCGCGCGGTGACCACCAAGGTGGCGTTCATATGGTAACGAGCGACCAACCCGTGCATTGAAATCCCCAGCAAGGACAATGACATCCGACATTTTAGCATTAGTCAAGAGCTGATGTAGATCCCGGTAGAATTCGTCCTTGACCGAGCCACCACTGCAGGCAGTTGGAGCGTACGCGGAGAACACAAACCAGTTGTGTCTCTCTTTTCAGCGCTTGTTGATTCTACATGAACCCCTAAGCTGAACTGCAAACAGTCGGCTGTTAATCGGGAACCATTCCATTAGTGCCGCCTCGGTCATGCCACTTAGTGCTATATCTACGCCAGCCAAACCCGTTGAGGCTGCGTCTGGATCTCCAGAATGACGTAGATGATACCTAGATTCGTGGTCAGTCAAGCATGTCAATGTAATCACGATTCTTGGATTTTGCAATCGGGTTTCTGAAAGGCAGCAGACATCAATAACGAGGGACTCAAGGGTGCGCGCTTGACCGGCTTGCAAACCAATCTGCATGAGTGTCCGAATGTTGAAGCACGCCAGACAAAACGAAAGTCGGGGACGAAGGATAGCCATAGGCTGAACTCCGTGATTCACGGCGCAACCGGAATCGCAGCCAGATTTTTTACACATGTATCGGGTAACGGAAAGTAAGGATTGTTAGCAAACAATTGGCGTGTGATGAAGGCGCGTGAATGTGAAAAACAGAAACGGTAGTTGATGGGCACGTTGTAGTACAGCCCATGTTTTTTGAAAGGGCATGATACTAGCCGGTTGCCCAAGCTGAAGTAGGGAGTTGACTTAGGGGACCCCACCCCGAGGCTTTGGCTAAATAACCTACCCATCAGGCAACGGGGCGAATTTAGGGAATCGCGCCCATTGACAGGCTCTGACTGAATGTTAAGTTCATACTTCTTTCGTTTGGTAGATCGACATACAGGGGCCCAATACTTCCCATGAAATCAGCACGATTGCTGGACTACGATGCCCCACCGAGGTGTAACTTTGTCGCCGAACACTTCGCTGGAATGGGGTACGCCAGAACAACCCAGGTGGCACTACAAGGTAATTCGGCAAGCCAGGGGAGACCACTCATGAAACACAGGGACAGTTGGGTCAAAAGTTAAAAAACGAAAAGGTAAAACTACAACAAGCTAATCTTCGGGCAAAAGGCGAACGTGACAAGACATTACCGTAGAAAGCCGTAAAGATGCAAGAAGAGTTGCCACTCATTCCATGAAGCCGAACGATTAGGGTCTAACCATTTTCTTCGTGTGGCGGCTTCACAACTAGTGGTGTAATGGCAGACATTGGTCATCCCGATTTGTAAGCTGACCACGTGGTTGACATAATTCATTCAATATCTACCCGTGTGAGGCTATGACTTGCAATTCTGTGTCCTTTGGCTGGTTTTTTCCAGGTGGTTCGAGGAGTGTACACCTTACTGACTCTTCTTGATGGAGCTAATCCTGGTTAAGATACCTTAACGGCTGTTGCAGCTTGTGTAGGGCTGTAACAAACCTGCATTAATGAAATTCAAACAAAGTTCTTTGTTTCTATCTTAAACCCTTTTAGACGCTTGGCGTGGAAAATCATTCTTGTGACACGAGACGCAAGAAGTGCAGTTTTAAGAGCATAATGAATTCCTAAGCAAAGTAATTTGTGACGTAGCAACTATCTGCAACCGTTTTGCCCATCACTTTTTAAAAATATTGGTATCTGCCACGACTGGCTCTGAGTGCCAAGTCCTTCATTGATCCAGGATATTCGGGTGACATAGCCGCAAATACAGAAGTGAGGCAAATGCTTGCGACAGGATTTATTTCATTAAAACAAAGACCAGTTGAAATCCTTTGTGTGTTGCTACATTTGGCTAATGTAGAGAAGTAAGGCACATGCCATGTCGCACGTATAGAGCTGACTTGATCCGATCTATCACTTAGTTTGTCAGCTGGCGCTTACATAGGGTTCACATTTGACCATGCAGTTTAGGCTTGCGCATTTCGCTTGGGTTGTTGTGACCTCGGCTTCGGTTTCGACTTCGCCCGCTCATATGTTTGTTTACACTCATCTTTATCCTTGTAGTAATTAAACACTTCCTTCCATTGTTTTCGGTACTCGTCATAATCCGATTTATAGGCGTTAGCCATCAGTTTGGGCATTGTGGTGGGATCACACTCTTGGACATCGCGCTGAAAGAAGAAAAAGGTAACTTTTCTGCTATTCTGTATGGAAATATGCGCATAGAAATTAAAAGGCGAGAAAAAGAACCATCCGATGTATGTGGTGTATAGTTCCGGGCATCTTATATGTGTCGCCTTGGAAAAATACAAAGAACCCTTAAATGAGTGGGGTTATGCAGACTTGAGATGCAGTAAATGATCCATTTGCTGTTGTCAATTGTGTAAATCAACTGCTAGCAGTATGTTGTGCATGCAACTGGTGATGAACCACTGCTTAAAATCGAGCCATGACACCTTAATCTCTCCTCGATATTTACGCAAAAGTACACCAACTTACCTTCTAATATCAAAACAGTATCATAACCATAATCATCCGCATCATTATTATACACGTTAGCTGCAAGTGGAAAACACCTCAGCTATCGTGCTGCAATACAAAAGACAAGGAGAAGAAAAAAGCAACAGTGGCACGCCTTTTGAGTCCGCAGTAACGGATTGACATGGTTCCGGAGAGCTAACAGCCAGCTATTGTGCCGCAAACTTATATTATGTTTAACGAATTAGATCGTATCGTAACCGTAAAGGTGAGATTTATCTCTGATTGGACTCTACAGACAGATAGCAGGAACTAGCAACAGTACTCAGGGAACGGCACTTGTCGATGGCTCATTGCTATCAGGCTACCGGAGCCACTGGTCAGGAACATACTTGTTTAATATAGCAGATTGTCCACATTACAACTCTTAACTACAAATGTAACTCAATTTGCCTTGAAGTAAATGTCTTTGATTGCAATCAGTGAGAACGTGCCCGAAGTGACAATATTTTCGAGCTGCAATCAGGTTCGCTCATACAACGTAGTGCTGACAGCGTAATAAGCTGTGGTGTTAGGCGAAAACTCCTACTGCGAAAGCAATAATCTGGCTTAATCGAACGGGAGGGCAATTAATCTAAGTAACCAATCATGATGACTGCGGCTAGTACTCTCCTACTACTGTTACAGTGGCTGCTTGTGAGGTGGACTCCCTAACTCGCAGTTATTATCTCACCTATTAATTAGTAATCTAGCGAACAGATCTCGAAAGGAGATAGTGAGAGGCTCAGTGAAATTCGGTATTATTATTATTATTATCATCGATCGTCAGGTTCAAAAGGTATACAATTTCCGCTTAAGCGGCGAGAAAATCACTTGGCATCAACACAACGTTGACATCAGCTGAGAAAGTGAGGGGCTTTTTGCCACCGTACAACTTCAATGACATAAGAATGAATAATAATAATAATAATAATAATAATAATAATAACGGAGGAAACAGGTTCCAAGCCCCACCTTTCACCACTTCGTGTTCCAGTTGCTTATCCTTTTGTGAGAACTCGTACATATACCATATATAGCAACAACTTTGCACAGTACACGATGTTTCAACGAGTATTGTCTTGTTGCATGCCGTTCTCTTTTTAGTGTGTTTTTCACTATATTTCTCTCTGGTTGTCTGTTCGGCTGCCTCCTTTCCGTTGCCATCTTTATGAGTTTTCAGAGACATGTCAACTGGCAACTGATGAACCTTGCATTAACTTTAGATGGTACATCATCAAGGATTCCAATCCTTACTCCAAAGTAGCTAACGGTTCTCTCAAGTAGATATAGATAGGAATTCAGCTCTGCTCAAAGTAGCAGTTGAACGGAAAATGGACGATTGATGACTTGGAAAAACAAGGCATGCATTCGGTTCAAAGACAAATCAATTTAAGCCACCGAAACAATACGTAATCACAATAATATCTGCATCATCATTTGTGCCCATCGCTACCTTAGCATTCACAAAACAATTCGCTATTTCAACATAAAAATCACTCGCGATGTCGACCACGGCCCGCGTCTTGCAATTCATGAATTCACTCGCTTACTTTACCAAAACTTATCTGAGCAAATTGCAATCGTCGCATATTTGCTTGTACCTAACTGATCATGCACTCTGGTGTTCCACGTACAACTTTAGGCATACATTTTTACTTGATCTCATCTTAATTTCTTCAGTGTCATGGCACCTATAACATAAGGTCAAAAAAGCCTGAGTGCAATGTAATCGTAAGACGATATCGGGGAGACGGATACCTTGCGGTCTTCACCGTCCTGTGGCATGAACAACCATTACCACGCAGATAACCTAATACCAGAGAGACTAAACAGCAGTGGGGCTACGATGCGACAGAGAGACTTTACTGGCGCCATCTCTAAACAAATATCGATCCGAACACGGAGTTCATTGTAAGCAATGTAGCGACAGAGGCGAGACGGCTCAACAGCACTCCGTTTAGCCGTAACTAAATTCATTACCACCTATCAACTGGATTTTGCCGATCACTTGGAATTTTCAGCGGACGCTATCGAAGACTGCGCGGCGACCTCGTATTAGCCTATCAGATATTGAGTGAACCCAACCACGTATGCCGCCATTTGCTAAAACTTAGCCACAACACGCAGCTCAGGGGTAACTGCTTAAAATTGAAGGAACCAGATAGCCGTCTAGAGTGTCGACGGAATTATTTTTCCCTTCAGGTTTGCCAACCCTGGAACGCGCTCCCTTACTCAGTTGTATCCTTTCTTACCTTGGACATTTTCAAACAACGATTAGATCTTGCTCTTAGCTCCCAACATTTTGTTACCTAAACTCCTCTATTGTGGATTACGCCAAGGATGCATTTCTACAGGCTTTATGTATCAAATGGACCTAAGTGAGCGACCATATTTTACTTTTCTCACTCTTTACCTCAATAATCACTGCACCCCAGTTTCTTTCTGAACGTTTAAGCGCGATAATTTTTGTTTATTTTACACTGATGTTAATTATCAAAGTATTCATCTCGGCAAACGTTCGATAGATGACCCAGACATATGTTACTTGCATCATATTCACCGCAACCATCCTACTGGACGTGTCAAGCACTTGCTTTTATCCCGTGATAAATCATTGTTTATTGCCCTTGCCTTGCGCCATCCAGCATCCGGCAAACAAAACAAGGTTGTCCTCATTACGTGGTGCCTGAAGGTACGCGTCACGTGCTCAGACCAACGATATTTATTCAGCTTCATCTATTGTTCTAACGCAGACATTCTCAACCTCTATTTAACCGTGGTCCGCTTTTGAACCTTTCCGTTTCTCATGGTATCCCGCTTTTGAGCACTACAATTGGAGCAATTCGCAACACCTAACAGACGCAAATCTGTGACTTCCACTGTCATATTGGTGTACTTTTTCTGATGGTTAAATTTTAATGATGTTATAACTGATTCATCCCTTCTAAACCTCAGATTTTAAGTTTCATAACCACAAGTTGACATTCATTGTGTGGCAACCCCAAGCCGCTTGTCTGGAAGTGCACAAAAGTAAGTACACAAAAGTTGTCATTAATACTTCAAGTTGTAGCTAATTATTTTGGTATTTAACTGGAAGGTATGTCATGAATGAGACGGTTCAGTCCTCTCTCAACGACGTTCCTCGAGATATTAATGCGAAGTTTGGGCCTAATGTCCTTGTGCAAGCTAGCTTATGTCCGGCTGCAGAATTGTTTGTGAGAGTCGAATGTCTCCGCTTTCTGTGATTCCACCTTTTGTTAGGGAAACCACTTTGCTGAACCCACATTTTAACCTTAGGTGTGAATGGAAAAAGCTAAGAAATATATTGCAGTTATTTCTCTCAGTGGGATCGCTGTTAGGTGCATCGGTAGTTAACTAAAAATCCCTTTTACATTGCATGAATTTGGATCTTGCTAGTGTGTCACTTTGAAGCTCCATGTGCATTTCCTGGGTTGTAACTCCAGTATCACAGGGCTGTACAACAAATGAACCTGAAATCCAAATCGGGACTTCCATGTCAATCAAATCATGAAACGTGACTTTCGTCTCTTTATACAGTTAATTTAAATGACTAGCATACACAACAAAATCTTCATAATTCTGCTTCTCCCTGACTGTAGCAAGCATAAGCAACCAAAAGTTCACAACGCCCGATGTTTTGAGCACACAGTGTCAGCCTTTTAAGAAAATCGATCCTGGCTTTTTTGCTCGAAATGAGAATACTCATCATCATACATGTTAGCTGGAGGTGGAAAACACCTCAGCTACTGTGACGCAATACATAGAAAAAAAGAAAAATGCAACAAGTGCAAGCCGGCCAAGCTACCAGTAACGGATGGACATCGTTCCGGCAAGCTACCAGCCGGCTACTGTGCATAAAAAAATTACTATGCAAAATTATATAAGGCTAAATAATGAGATCGTGGTTGGAGGGGGAGGCTAAGAGGGATGGGGTGGGACAAAGAAACTCACAGCACGAACGCCACTGAGGTCGGCTTCTAGCCATATCAGCAAGTGTATCCAACCAAACGACTACATCGTCCTTCGGACCCCAACCAGGGAGCCGAGACGCTCCAACCGAGGCCAGCTCAGAAGTGAGGGCCTTCATTCCTCTCGACCAAGTCATCGCTTGGCTACCCCTCCTCTTCTTCCATCCACACCACCGACGCGCAAACAAAGCACGTCGCGGGAGTCGGTGGGCTGGCACGGGTAACACGTGTCTGAGCCATCGAAGCCTGGTGCATAAAATAACGGTACTGAGCGGTTCATTTTCATTTCCTGTGCCATAAACAAGGCTTTGAACACGCTCGTTGCTCACGCGGTGTTCCCACCAAATGTGAGCTAAATTACGAAGGCACCGGTGGTCAAACGTAACTAGCCTCTTCATTTCGGCTGCTTTAGGCTGCCAGATTTCACAACCGTACAGTAGGGTCGAACGTACTGCTGCATTGCACACTCTACCCTTCAGGGCGAGAGTGATGTCGCGCCAGCGCCACAAGTGGCGAAGGTTAGCAAAAGCGCCCCGAGCTTTTGCTATACGGTTAGTGATCTCATCGTCAATCCCACGGGAGCTGACACAACTTCCCAGGTAGTTGCATTTTTGAACGACTTCTAGCTGATCCCCACCAAGAGTCAGCGTAGTGGGCGGTCC